GACTTAGGAGCCTGGTGAGCACATAGGGTTTTCAACCCGCAATAAATAAATTTATTAAGTTTAGTCATCAAACAATCAACCCAATTTCACATCACCATTATCTTCTTTATTCTTAAAGATCTTAAGAATCATTTGTCCTTCATTCATTCATTCCTAAGGATTATCCTAAGGAATAGGCACGAAGTCCATCGCTGCCATGGTTCTTAAATTATAACTGGTGAACACATAGTTTAAAACATCTGGTAAACACGTAGTTCAAAAATATCTGGTGAACACTTAGTTCAAAAATACTTAATGAACACCTAGTTCAAAAACACTTAGTGAACACTCAGTTAAAAAATACATGATGAACACATAGTTCAAAAATACCTGATGAACACATAGTTCAAAAAATGCATGATGAACACATAGTTCAAAAATACCTACAGATTACGAACCTGTTAACGTTCCACTGGATTATCTAGAAAAGTCTGTGGTCGTCATCTATATTCCGCTAGATAACTGGAACCTCATCAACATCGAGACCTCTCATCATTTTATTTCATCACACATCAACTATTTCATCTACCCATGTTATACCCAACATATTTGTATATAAAAATACATATACAGTTTAAATCATTCTAAACATGTATAAAACATTCGTTCAACATCCATCTCAAATAAACACAATATATATATATATATATATATATATATAATATATATATATATATATATATATATTATATATATAGATATATACACACACATAGCATGTGTGTTATATAAAATACTTCATATCTATGTGTAAGATGAAAGTGACTATACACTCACTTGATAAGACGGTGATTGGACAACACTTCCTCCCTTAAAACAATCTTTTTCGATAAAACCGGGAGGTTTGCTCAAAAACCGGGCTCTGCGCGGGCAGAGTTTTGACTCGAAAAACTCTTTTTCTTGGAGACTTCGAGCTCCCTGGGGCTTTCTTATGATGCTAGGAAGGTATTCTAGGTTTGGGGTATTTATTGCAGCTTAAAAGAAAGTAGAGGGTGGAAAGGTATAAAATTTGTAAACAAAAATCGAATGGTCTCGCACTCTATTTATAGGGGCTGAAGCCTGGCATTACGTTGGGCGTAACTTTCTGGTACGCGGGGCGTACTGCCTTGCAAGGCTCTATGTTGGGCGTAGACCGAGTACGCTGGGCGTAGGAGCGGATAACTTCGGACGCGTCAAAGCTACGAACACGTGTGCACCATGCGAAGGAGTACGCGGCGTGGCCAATCTCGGACCATGAACACGAGTACGTTGGGCGTACTCCTGTATGCTAAGCCTACTACCCCGATTTTTATTTTTCAAACTTTCAAAAATTCATAACTTTCGCATACGAGCTTCGTTTTCGACGCTCTTTATATGCACGCGTAGGTATGACCGTGCTCTACAACTTTCGTTTAGACTCTGTCGGCTAATTTTGACTTTATTTTTAAAGTTATATTTTTAACAGGCCGGGACATGAAAAATCTGTTAAAAATTCATAACTTCTTCATCCGACGTCCGTTTTTGTCTGTATTTTTTACCGTTAAACTACTATCGACAAGATCTTCGATTCTCGTTTAGATTGTGTCGGTTAAAAATCGCTCGATCTATAATTCGAGTTCCGGGCTGCATATTGTTATGCCAAATCTTAGAAAATTCATAACTTCCTCATACGAAGTCAGATTTGGACATTGTTTTTATGCACACTCTCAGTTTAACTAATACTACGACTTTCATTAATATCGCTAAGGCTAGAAAGCATTTTATCGTAAACTCACTTTTTACATCACACAGCGTCGTGCCGGTTCTGTCGCGAAATTTCGACAGGTCATAACTTCTTCGTTATAACTCGGATTTCGGTATTCTTTATATCTCCGGAATCCTTGTTTCAACCACTACAACTTTCTTCATAGATATCGGGTTTTTCTAACATTTATTTAAATCATAACAATTATAAAACACATAATTTCACATAATTCATTCTTATTACTTCAAAACGAGTTACAAATGTTGGCCTAGATTATTACATCATCATTAATGCCTAGCCTAGAAACACGGGCGTTACATTGTGTGACCCAACATATTTTCTTTTTGTGTTTGACTCTGTAAAAAGATTTTTTTAATCAAGAATATACATCGGAGAACTTACCTGATTGAGCTCTCCTTCTATTTTTTCGATGTTCTGAATAGGGTTTAAACTTATGAATCTTCAACAGATCTTTGAACGAAAGTTCTAACCTGCTATGATAACTTGAATGTATCAGAAAACCCGCTCTGATACCAATTGAATGTTTGTATCGATCAGATACACTTAAGTATGAACAATAAAGAACAAGCAAAGAACAACGAACAAGATGATCACAAAGATACTTTCACTAAGAAAGGGGGTTCTCACAAAGAGAACAGGATCACAAAGACGGCACCAAGCCTATATTGGGGTTTAACCCTAATGTTGTTTATATACGATTACAATAACAAAGATCCCACTATTTTGGGATGTATACTAATTTATGTAAAGGTCTGATCCTAATCACTAAGATTACGGATCAGACATATATCCTATATATACAACGTATAACTTCCTAATATACATATGATCACCAAGATCATAGAGTTCATGTTAACGCTGATCATTCTAGAGCTGGTGTTGGCGTTGGTGGTCAGCTTTTTGAGATTTTACTCATCAGATCATAAGGTGTGACCTTACAAGCGCTATTGACCGTTATTTACTACGAACCCCATCACCGTTATAGCGGCGATACACCCGATTATACACTTTAGTTCACATTTGGGCCATTTGGCTACTTTGTTAAAGAAAAATCCGATTGTGGGCTACTTAAATGTTAAATCTTTTTTTTTTAACCAGTCCACTACACTTGCATTTTAATAAGCCTAAATAACAAAACCTAATTAATTACAAAGTAAAAAGCATTCAAAGCAAAGAATGACATGTAACATCTCTTTCTACTACTTGGAAACCACGACGACTTAAGTTGTGATGATCTACATACACCTAGGGCTGTAAACGAACCGCACGAACATGAACGGGGGGCTTGTTCATGTTCGTTCGTTTAAGTTAGCCGGACAAATGAACGAACACGAATGGATAAACGAACGTTCGTTTAACAAATACATTGTTCATGTTCGTTCATTTATGTTTGTGAACATGTTAAACGAACATAAACAACCGAACATAAATGAACAAAAATAAACAAACACAATTGAACATATATGAACATAAATGGGCATATAATATGGTAATGTAATCAAACACAATGATTGATATATGAACATAAAATGAACTTATATGAACGAACATAAATGAACGTAAACGGACAACATAAATGAACGTTCATGAACATAATTGAACGAACAAGAATCATTGTTCATGTTCGTTTGTTTAGTTAAACGAACGAGAATTTGTGTTCATGTTCGTTTGTTTATTAAATAAACAAACTTCCCGCCGAACGGTTCACGAACAGTTCGTTGAACGTTCAGTTCGTTTACGACCCTACCTACACCTATAAATCCATGAATGGTAATGGATTAAATATGTTTATTGTTAAATGTTTCTCTTTCAATGTTTCACACTTATAAACTCATTAATGTATGAATATGTGATTTAGCTTTTATCATTTAGTAAGTATTACCTCACTTAGTCATAGTGATAAGTCACTTTGAAGTTATGATCTTGTATAGACTTATAGTATTAATACACAAATATATAAATGTATAACATAAAAATTATAAATTATACGTAATATTAAAAAATCGTTATACCACCGTGATAACCACGATTTCAAATAGTGGCTTGTGACCACTATTGAAATTTTGACCACGATAACTGTATAGGTAGCAAGTCACAACCTTCGTGTTATCTGCTTTAAATCTTTAACTCGTTATTTGCTTTAACTATAAGGTAGAAATCAGTAACAATTTCAACTTTTGAAGCTTAATTAAAAACCAAAATTTCTAAATCTCTCAAAGGAAAAAGGCTTGAGCAGTAAAGGAAAAGAAACTTGAAAAAATGCTCACCTCTATTGTTAAGCTTTAATTGTTGAATGAAGAAATTTATAACTATTCGAAGCTAAATCTCAAATACTAACATTGATAAGACTAAGACCTAAAAGGAGAAAAAGAATTCTAGTGTTGTTGGTTATTTATGGTCTTTAAAACAGTACAAGAATGAGGATATTATTGATTGACGTTTGGGTAAGGAAAACGGTTCGACTAGTGGGTAAAGAATAGAAAACTCATTAAAATTTGGCAATTTTGATGGATAGGTAGGATCGGATCTAGATCCTATGACCATGTCTACGATCTTATATACAACACGACGATCTGACAATATTTACATAAGTACAATCGTAGGATATTACGATACTACTACGATCAAGAACCCGATCTTAACAACATGGACAAATATTGTACTTACTATTCTTTTGATCAAATTTCCCTTGGCTGGCTTATATCTTTCAACAGCTTCTTCATGTTCAATGAGGCTCCGTTGATTGTAGCTTCTGACGAATATGGAGTCGTTGAAATGAATCTGCTGCAAGCGGTGGGAATCGTCAACTTCTGGTTATTATTTGTAGCGATGGTGTTTGGGATGGGATCGGGAATGGGGACTGTCAACAATATAACTCAAATAAGTGAGTCTCTCCTACTCAACTTTTCAGATCAATGCGATGGTTTCTCTATGGAGTATATGGAACATTCTTGGCCGATTTGATGGTGGTTTTGGGTCTGATGTGATTTTACACACATACAGATTGGGGAGATCATTGTTTATCTTCGCATCAGAGGGTTTTATGCGTTGATTTTGCAAAGACGATCGAAGCAAATTCTGGTGTGATTTTGGATATTGCTTCCACTTGATTGATTCATTTTTATTCCATATAAATAAAACTTAAAAATTATAAACATATAATATAATAATTAATGAAGAAGAAAAGAAAAATAAATATAATCAGAAACAGATATCACAGAGGCGGAATTGACCGGGGAGATTAGAATTCTCTCGCCGGAAAAAATGGCGGTGAATAACAACAAATGGATCGCTACGGTTGCCAGCATATGGATTCAGTGCACAAGTGGTTCACTCTACACTTTCTCCTTCTATTCTTCGACCATCAAATCCAGTCAAGGATATGATCAGTCAACCCTCGATATCGTCTCCGTCTTCAAAGACTTCGGCGCCAACTCCGGTGTCCTCTCTGGCTTACTCTACTCCACCGTCGCCTCTCCGTCCTCCACCATCACTTTTCGAGGAAGAAGATGCGGTGGGCCGTGGATTGTACTCTTGACTGGTGCGATTCAGTGCTTTGTCGGTTACTTTCTGATGTGGCTTTCCGTCACCGGAACGATTCCTCGGCCACCACTACCCTTCATGTGTTTATTCATGCTGTTAGCTGCTCATGGAGTCACCTTCCTCAACACGGCAAATGTTGTCACAGCTGTTCTCAACTTCCCTAATCACAGTGGCACCATTGTCGGCATCATGAAGGTCCTCCATCCCTCTCTCCCTCTCTCCATCCATCTTCAATTACTTCATATCTTTGCTGTTTGATTCTTAAATTAGATTTCGAGTGAATGGTGGTAACTATCTCACGCACAACAAGTTTTGATAATTTGTCTCACATAAAGTATCTACCTTTTTGGCTCTCTGAACAGGGGTTTCTTGGGTTGAGTGGAGCAATACTACTTCAACTATATCAAACAGTATTCAAAGACGAACCAACCCCATACATTCTCATGTTATCCCTTCTTCCATTTCTAAACACTTTGATCTTCATGTGCAATGTAAAATCCTTCCAAACAAACGAAATCAACGAAAAGAAACATCTCAACACTTTATCACTCATTTCCCTAATCATTGCAGCCTATCTCTTCTCAATCATAATCATACAACAAACACTTTCCCTAAACTTACCAACACGAATCATCATCTCCCTTGTTCTTCTCATCCTTCTAGCATCACCTCTCTACGTTACACTCAAATCACATTCAACTCAAAACTACCAATCACTAAATACCAATCAAGAAATCTTGGAAGAACATGAACATGAACATGAACTTGAAAATGAACATGAATCTGAATCCATCAAACACGACAAGAATCTGTTACAAGCTATACGCACAGTAAATTTCTGGTGTTTATTTTTTACAACAGCAACAGGAATGGGTACAGGGTTAGCAACTGTAAACAACTTAGCTCAAGTGGGTGAGTCTTTAGGCTACAGTAGCCATGAGACTACGACTCTAGCCTCATTATGGAGCATTTGGAACTTTGTGGGCCGGTTTGGTGCTGGATATGTCTCGGACCATGTTCTTTATACTAAAAAATGGGGTAGACCGGTGTTCATAGCCATCACTTTAGGGCTCATGAGTATAGGCCATTGTGTGATTGCTTCTGGGTTTCCTGGGGCTCTTTATGTGGTTTTGTTTTGGTGGGTGTTTTTTATGGGTCACAATGGTCGTTAATGCCTACAATTGCTTCTGAAGTCTTTGGGGTTTCACATTTTGGGACGATTTTTAATACTATTACAATTTCGGGTCCGATTGGGTCGTATTTTATTTCTGTGAGGGTGATTGGGTATCTTTATGACAGAGAAGTGGGTCGAGGGGTGACAGAGTATTGCAGTGGAACTCACTGTTTTCGGTTGTCTTTTGTTATTATGGCGTTTGTGACGTTTATGGGGTCTATGGTTGCTATGTGGTTGTTCTTTCGGACTAGAGGGTTGTATGAAAAGATTGTGGTAAAAAGAGATAGTTGTTCTAGCTGAATAAGTGGGAGGATTATCTTATTGATTAGTCGTTTAAGTGTAAGTGTGTGTAGATAAAATTAATGATGAAATTTGTTTGTGTGGAAAGAAATGAAGGGGTTACCCTCTTATTATTTTATCGGGTTAAATGATGTTTGATAAAAAAAAATCATTAAAAGGTTAACTCTAAATCATTTTGAATACAAAATGATCATTTGATATACTCTAATTGTACCTATGACCGATCATCAAATGACTTCTAGCCCAGCGGTATCAGGTGATGTCCTCCATTCTTGAGGTCGAGGGTTCAAGTCTCGTTGTGGACATAAGTGGATTTAGGTGTTAGTTTAGTAGTATACTAGGTTACAACCCGTGGGAACCAATGGTAAAATATTTATAAAAGATTTAAATTATTAATAAGCAATAAAATTTAATTTATATGATAAATGATTTACACGATCATATTACAATTAAATGATCAATGAAAATTTTACATGGATTTCTAAATAATTGGATATTTGAAAAAAAAAAAACTATATGACCAATTACCAAGAAATTCAGAGATGTGATGATAAAAAATATATACTATGTCATTGGATCTTTACCTGCTCAAATGCACTTATAGGCATTATACGCAAGAATGAATTTGCTCAAAGAATTGGTTTGAATCAGTAATTCTTAAGATGATAAATTTGTGTTAATTTATTTTTTGTGGCAAAAAAAATGTTATATATAATCACCGAGACTTTTGTCTTCCTAAAGAAAACACACAAATAATCTTAAGTGGAAACTCTTTCAAAAAAAATTCAAATTTTAATAATAGTCAAATCGTTTCACTCTTAGTATTACAAGCTCAAGGTTAAAGGCACCGGAAATAATTCAAAATAAACTAAATTGGAAAATAAGGGTACATTGCTTATTCTTGCATATCTAGAGCCCCCATAGAAGTTTCATCCCACCAACTTGTATAATGCTCTAATAAAATAAAATAAAAAAGTATAATGTTATAATTTAAAATAACAATATGAAAGTAAAATGCTAAAATTACAATTTACAATAATAATATAAAATCCTATAATAGCTTCAAGATGTATTAGTGATATAAGAAAAATGGAAAACTGAATCAAACTCATAAGTTCGTGTTGATAGCCTACAAATAAATGTGAATAAACTGCAACACCTTCAAGACACTCAAGTTGTTGCCAACTATATTTGACCTCCTTTTGCTACAAATGGTATATAAGCACATAAAGCCCTGCAAACAAAAAAACGATTACCATAACTAAAAGAATTTTCCAATCAAGCTGCGACAAATGCGAATGAAAGTAATTTACTATTATACTTATTAAATACAAATAAATTAGCAAATTCCAATGAAAGAACTTTACTATACTACCATTCAGTCAAAACTAAGAAAATTATTAGAAATTGAATATCATGGATTTTTAGAGAAGTAAGAATGGTAGCTGGCCTTGAATTTTTCTAGGAAGTAGGAAATGCATTAGACCTTGAGAACCCCCTAATTCCTCTATTGTGGAGGGTAGACAGATTTGCCCTTGACATTTTAGACAGATTATCCTTGATATGTTAGACAGGTTATCCTTAATAAGAAAGCTCACTCAAGATATTAAACAATAGCATATTAGAATAATTTGTTGTTGTACAGAATCGTGTTACTCAGCCATTTTGAATAAAAACCAAAAACAATTATGTTATGTGTGTCAATATGTGAACTTAACTTATTCAGACATTTCATCAAACACTTAATATGCGAACTTAAAAAGTACAAATTTCATCAACCAAACATGAAGTCATAGTAATTTTGATCAAGTATGTAGTTCGAAACAAAGCTAGAAGAAGAAGGATACATATACGAACCTAAATTAAATAGATATGAAGAATGATTGGCAGAAACGAAATACTTTCTATAGACTTGTATATGAAATCGTGAATGCAGTGGTTGATCGGTTGATCTTCTTTTCTGGAAGAAGAAGGATAAATATACAATCCATTCTACTTCTTTGATTATCAATTATCACAGACATATTAACAAAAAACTGCTCTTCAATTGCAGATCAGATTTTTTTTTCAATTCCACCGCAACATATGCCACTATTCATCATCTCCTTCTCGATCTTGGAACTAAAGCAAACAAATGCAGAAACAAAATTAAAATAAGATGTTTGGTACATACATGAACATGAATTAAAAAGTTAAAGTGATTGATACCCAATTACAATAGAGTTTGATTCGATTTATCTGTGTATATTAACAACGGGATACCTCAACTTATAAATCATTTGATTTCAGTTATGTTGATGAACATATGATCAGATTACTCCATGACACATGATTCAAATTTAATTTCTTCGTAGTTATTTCAATCAGATCAATTATTATCGCATTGAATCTTGTAGTTTATATATTGAAATCGAAGCAAATCGAGGCGTGATTTGGGGAATTAACGGATGAGTAGATAGAATTTAGAGTTTTAAAAGCTGAAGGGTATATTAGGTAGTTTACTTAGAAATTTTGTAGCTGGAGAAGCTGCCACGTAGGAAAGCAAAGGATTCTTTTATTAAGATAGGGGATTATATATTATATTTGCCGATTCAAAAAAAAAAAAAAAAAAAAAAAAAAAAAAAAAAAAAAAAAAAAAACCTATGACCTATTACAAGCTTCTGAATTGTTCCCTAACTCCATCTTTTAACACTTCGGTTAGAAGCTCCACTCCACTTTGCAAATATTTCCTTTTTCCTCACATAAAAAAAACATACATTGCCCTCGTAATCTAAGAGTATTCGGTGCCCAGCTCTTTCCTTGACCAGCAACATCGACCCTACCTCCTTCCATCGACACCACCACCTCCTTTATTTTATTTTGACGTCAAAGACGCCCTTCAATAAAAATACTTGGTCACTATGGGCATCTCCTAAAGGATTATGGGGTGAGCAATAGATGTATGTTTGGTACGATAGAATAGAATCGTAAAAGAATGACATGAACATCAAAAGGAATTGATCATTATAGTCCACTTCAAGGCCGATGCAAAGGAATAGAATGAGTCATTTGAACATTGTTTATATACAATTATAAAACTAAATAAAATTAAGAGTAAATTACACGAATTGTAGTTTGGGGTAACCTATGTGTTTGGTCTCTAATTCTTTTTTTTTAACTGAAACAGTACATTTGGAATGTTTTTATTGCCTGGTTGGTTTCTAACCAACTTAAACTGAATATTTTACCGTTATTTGTTTTTAAATATTTTATTTATTTTAAATTATTAAAGAAAAGTGTTAAGAAATTTATGGGTTACGTCTCCTTTTATCCCTTGGTCTCTTTCATCTTTTACTTATCTTCATCTCTCTCCCGCCAATACTCCCATCTCCTTTCTCTCTTCGGTCGTCGGACCCTCCAACATCACAACCCTCTTGTCAGAGGTGAAGGGTTCCAATTTCAAGTTTTGTCCACAAGTTTTTTTTCATCAATGCATCTCTCCCTTGGTTATTCAGTTCAATTTTGAACGTGGATCGGAAACCTTAAGATAGTTTTGAATCTATATACGATGGGCTAAATACCATACAAACCGGAAAAAAAATCCTAGGAACTGAATAACTACAACAACCACTATTCTTAAAATCCAACTACTTGAAAGCCTTCCAATAACAACAACATCACAATCATCTACCATTTGGTCATTTCCAATTTCTCCAATAGATCAGAAACAAAGGATTCATTTGAGTGCACACCCAATATTTTGTCCATATCACCACCCTTCTTATATTTTTCATCTCCGATTAAACCATTGGCAATCACCGGCCCTTCTTCTTCAACAAATCTCGAGTATGAAAACCATACCTAACCATTAAATTGAAATACACATCTAAACTATTTGAAGAACATGCAACAACAACAAATATATATATATATATATATATATATATATATATATATATATATATATATATATATATATATATATATATATAGAATAACATAAAATAATAAAGTAAAAATGGCATAGAACATGCAACATCCAATTTCACATCCAAATCCAATAAATAAATAAAAATCAAATTCGAGTTATATCTAATTCGTGAACTTCATCAGATTTGGGTTTCAAAAACGATTTGGGTTTCCAAACATGACATCAAAAATCATATGAAGGGTATTGTAGAGGTTAGAAATAGGGATATGAGATATATGTGAGGGTCGTCGGAAGTGAATGGCATTTGTATTTTTAGGAAGATTTGCAATGGCGACGGATAGATGAGAGTCATCGAGAAAGGTGAGTTTGTCGAACGTGAAAGACATTGAGGATGTTAGGGAGACGGATTGATATGCATGAGAATAAAAGAGAAAATGTGTAATAAAAGGAGTGGGTCCTTATGGTTTTCAGTTTGTCCCTAAATTAATCCTTATGAAACCTTTTTTTGCATGGATGGTCCCTATGGAGCAAACCTTGCACACCATTAGTCTTTGTGACTAACACTGTTAGTATTCTGTTTAATAAAATATGAAAAGACTATATTTCCCATCTTTTATTAAATTATTAACCGGTTGGCCTCTTCCCCCCCCCCCCTCTCCATCTATTTCCATGTGGCTTTGTCTTTTATGAACACTAAAGAACATCTTCATGAACTCAAGAACATACACCATGAGCACCGATTGCCACCACCGACTTAGATCATCGTCCGTCACCACCACCTCCATCTCCACCTAGATTTTTTCTAACATCATCATATTTGCCTAAAAAATCATTCCAGTAATAAAAAACCATACACAATATATGGGTTTGTTCTTGAGTTCGCCCCTAAAATATCATTCTAACATCTCCATCCCCGTCTTCATCTAAGGCCTCTCCCTTCCCGTCGTCGAATCTGAAAACCATCCTATGTATCTCCCTCTACATTGCCAGATTTTAAGCCTCTCCCTCACTGTCTCTAGATATGAAAACACTTCCATCTTGTCATCGCCTCCCATCAAAGCTAAAGTTCCAATCATATCCTACTCCCATTACTCCTCCAGTTATACTGGATCAGAGACGGTGGTGTGCTCTGTATGCTTGGATTATATCGATGTAACTCATCTAATCAGAGAGCGTGGGGGAATTGATGTGTCATTGATGTATCGATGTAACCCATTTGGTTCTTTATATCACTTTTT